CGCACCACATTGCAAGGCGCAGCGAAAATATCACGAATGTCGCTGCTGTGATGGTGTGATAGAGTTGACGCTGGAGTCGGTGCTGAGGTCGAAGCCGGAGCTGACGTGGAAACGGGGGGCGGAGAGGCAGGGACGGGATGCGGAGTGCCGGAGTCGGCGCTGGAATCGGTGCCGGCGTCGGTGCCGCTGGCATCTGCCTGCGTCGGTGCCGGCGGCGATGCTGTTGGCATCGATGCTGGACTTGGTTCTGGCGTGGTCAGAATTGGGGTGCTGCTCGTGCTGGACGTGGTCACGGTGCAGGTGCTGGTCAAGACTGTGGTGCTGCACATGCCGGAGGGTCACCGTGGTGGCGCTGGCCATGGTTATGGGCTTGCTCATGCGGGGTGTTTGTAACGCTTGGTCCTGCATCTTGGTCTGATCGTATGGTGGTGGCTGCTGCTGCCGTGATGTTGTATGCTGCCCGTTGTGCTCAATGGTTAGGTAGATCGAGTAATGATCTTCGATGTTGTTGCTGTTGAGTCGTGTTGGTGATCAACATGTAAGTCGGTGATGAATGGCATCCAGTCGTTGCTAATTGCTATGTGGCCGTTCCTATGCTTGGTGATCCTACCGTTGATATGTTTCACTAGCGTGTGTAGGCTCACGATTAATTACCGTGTTTGCGCATGTGAGGTTGTGTGCTGCCGCCGTGAGACGTACCTACGCTGCGTTATCGTCCACTCCTGGTTGCTGATGCGTAGGTGGCGGCACGTCGCCAATGCCTGGTGGAATGTTCGTGCGAATGCGCGCATTGAAGCCAGCCAATACAATGGTAGGGGGGGCACTTGTTGGCTAGTTCGTGAAAGGTGTCTCACCATCTTGTTGTGTCTTGTTTTGTGCTGCATATGAGGCGTATGGGCCACATATAGAGCCTCGCTTATAACAAATGCAGACAGCTTGCTGATAATAAGCCGGTGCGATGAATGCAGAACTCGGAAGTGCTTGTGCTTGAGATCGAGCTGTTGTTTAGTAAAGTTCGCATGTATAAGTGTTCTGCTGGCAAGTAGATTTCATCGCAGTTTGGATGGGTGCTAAAGAGTAGTGAACTGCCCTAACGTGTCTGCTGTGTTGCAGTCGCTCCTGGCCGTCGTTTCCTGTATGCCCATGATTCCTCTCCTCCTCCTCCTGCTCCTAATCCTCCTCGTTCTTGAACAACTCCCCTTCTTTTTCATGTCTCACCATATCACCCATATCCTCCCCCTGAATATCCGCCTCTCCCAACTACCCCTTCTCTTCTTTATCGTCGTTGCCTTCACGCACCCTTCCACATGTGTCTCTTCATTCTGCCTCTTATCATGTTGCTCCTCGTCCTCCCCCTTCCCCTACTCCTCAACCTCCTCCTGCTCGTCATCACGATCATCCTCTTTCTCCATCTCCTTTGCGTCCTCATCCTCCTCATCCTCCCCCTCAGGTCTGTTGCGGGTGCGTAACCCTTCCTCGCCCCCCCCACTCCTTTCATGTATAAACCTACTGCAATCATTATCCTCTTCTTCTACTCTCCCTCCTCCTCCACTTCCTCATCCTCCTCCTTCTACTTCTCCTCCTCCTCCTCCTCCTCCTCCTCCTCCTCCTTCCTCCTCCTCCTCCCGCTTAGCCTCCTCATCACTCGCGTCTCCAAATTCTCATTGTTCCTGTCCTCTTCTCCTTCCCCTGCTCCTCTTCGTGTGTATGACGCCCTCTGACGACAGGCACGCGAGGGAAGCGCGGACGCTGGAACCGGGGCGGCCAATGGAATCATGGCGGCGACCATCATCGCGGGCGCAGTGGCGATCAGCGGCAAAAACGGCAAAAGCCCACAAACAGCTTCGAATTAGCATTCCTCATCTCGTTTGTCATCATCTTCATCAACAGCAGCAGAAGCAGCATCACAATCATACATATCGTCCTCATTATCATCATCATCATCATCATCATCATCATCATCATCATCATCATCATCATCATCATCATCATCATCATCATCATCATCATCATCGTCATCATCATCGTCATCATCAGCAGCATCATCATCAGAATCATCATCCTCATCCTGATCCTCATCCTCATCCTCCTCATCATCATCGGCAGCATCGTAATCATGGAGTGCGGGTAGACGTTGAGCCTAATCATCGCGTTCCTCCACCTCGTCGTCGTCGGCGTCGTCATCCTCGTCATCACCAGCAGCATCACAGTCGTCGTCGCAGTCGTCGACGTCGTCGTCGTTGTCATCATCATCATCACCATCGTCATCATCATCGTCGTCATCATCGTCATCATCATCAGCATCATCATCATTATCATCATCATAATCATCACCACCAGCACCACCATCATCATCATCATCATCATCATCATCATCAGCAGCATCATCATCATCAGCATCATCATCCTCGTCGTCAGCAGCAGCAGCAGCACCGAAGTCATCGCTATGCCAAGCGGCCGACGCGGCCAGGGCCGCAGCTCCGCCCGCACGGGGCGTCTGCCGCCACCCCAGTCCCGCAAGCGCCCGAAGGGCCGTGGGAAAGGCGGGGCCGCTGGAGCGGCCGACGTCGCGCCACCGACTCCCAAATCGAGGATTGACAAAAACAACACACCCTTGGCAAAACGCTCTGTAGTGAAGGCTTCCAGGGGCGATCCATGTGCGCACGACAGGGCGGGGCAGCGACTCGACGTCCAGAGTCGGGCGAGTGTGCCTGGACACACGTCGGTTGGCGAAACCGACTGGGGACAGCACGGGCACACTCGAATGCCAGCGTCGAACGAACCAGTGCGGGTGTCCGCAGTCTACTTGTCTGGGCTGGCGTCCTGCCAATGCCCAACAAGAGGGGCCTGGGAGACCCCGAGATCTGGGCGCTGCAACCTGTTCGCGACGGGCGGTACCGCCCAGCTTCGGGCGCCGGGGCCAGCACAGCTCGATCCGCCTCGAAACGCGCAGTGGAAGCAGCGGGTCTAAGATGCTCGGGTCATGACGTCCCTAGCGATGTCTCATTCTTGTTCGCAACGCTGGCTCCCAGGGGAGGCCCCCCAAAAGGGGAACTCGCAGGGATGCCCAGAAGCCCTCTCCCACAGGGTGTCCCTCAATACTCTCCAGGTAGGATTTTATTTTCGCGGTGATGACAGGCGCTAGGGAAGGGGGGGGTGGTCGTGTGGGTCCGGCACCACGGACTGTGGTGCCAGGCGCACTGCGGCAGTGCCGGGGACGCACATGGGGGGAGCGTTACGTTGTGGGAGGGAGGTGAGGGGGGGGAGCATAACGCGCGTCATGGCCCAAAGGGTTTTCTTTTACACAAGAAAAACATGTCCAACGTGCACCCAAGGAGGCCCCCAAGAGGCCCCCAAGGGGCTCCCAAAAGCCCCCATGAGCTCTGAAGAGGCTCCCACGAAGCCGCCCCCGAGGCCTCCAGGAGGCCCCCAGGAGTAAAGGGGCCCGCTGAGACACACTTACCCGAGGCGCACCCTATCGACTCTCAACGCGAGTGTGAGCCCTCCACACGAACGAACACATCGCCAGGTATGCACGTTCTGCGCTGCCCTCACCTCCGCCGTGCCTCCCAGGACCCCTACACAAAAAAGGCTACTGCTTTCGCACCTCGCACTTCGCAGCCCCCCGAGGAGTCGCGAGGTCTCGCGTGGGCCTGCGTGCTCCCCCACGCCGCCGTGCCTGCCAGGAGCTCACGACAATGGCGACGGCTTCGCACTTCGCAGGGTGGGCCTGCGTGGCCCTCCACTCCGCCGTGTCTCCCAGAAGCACACGAAAGCGGCAACGGCTTCGCACTTCGCAGCCCCCCGGGGAGCCGCGGAATCTCGGCCGGGTCTGCGCGGCCCCCCGCTCTGCCGTGCCTCCCAGAGCCCACGGGAGTGGCGACGGCGTCGCACTTCGAGCCGCGAGGTCTCGGCCGCGTCTGCGTGGCCCCCCATGCCTCCGAGGAGCCCACGAAAGTGGCGACGGTTTCGCAGCTGGCAGCTCCCAAGAGGGCGCACAGGATGCAGGCAAACGCACAAAATGCAGAAAGAGGTAGACAGAGGAGGGGTTGAGGAAGGAGACGCGCGAGCAGTGCTCTGTTGAGAACGCGAACCCCACACGAGAGAGCTGGGAGACAACTGCACGCAGGCAGAACACGACGGAAAGCGGCACAACAAACACACACACACAAGATCGGAAGCCGGCTGCTGGCTCTGCTGCTGCTGATTTCTCTGCATCTGTTAAAAGAATACGGTGGGGGCATTGGCTAAGAAAACCTTAGATAAGGAATCCAAGGTCTGGAAGCCAGTGGAAAGCCAATCGTGGATTGGCCATGGACATCACCACCGCCCTCATTAGATAAGGAATCCAGGGTCTGGAAGCCAGTGGAACTCCAATCGCGGATCGGCCATGGATATCACTGCCGCCCTTATTAGAAAGGAATCCTCAAGGGTCTGAAGCCTCCTGGGAGTATTCCTTAACCAACGCCTCCACCGTAACCAGCGCTGAAGCGAGAGCGCCATTCCGAGGCAGACATACGGCTGGCGCTGGGGTGAGAGCGAATTTCGGGGGGCAAGTGACTGGAGATGAAGCAAATACACGCCTCTCGGGTCTGGGAACGGCCAGGAACCGTTTGGGACCGACCGGGAACCGGGTGCCACCTTACTCGTGCCAACACATGCGTTGTTGGCGCCTGCCGTTTTACAAAGCGCTTTCACCAAAACTAGCGAACCCTCGGATAAAAAGACGCGCTGGGACTTTATTGATGTGATGACTTGCAGTTTTCCATCAGCATACAGTCCAAGGGCCAAACTCGGGATCTATCCCTGAGCTTAGGCGACAGTCACGCAACTAAGATATCAGCCTTCATGCGCGCCTCGCTCTGGCAAGCCAACTCAACAGGATAACCTGGTACGCCCGCTCTCATCAACAAGCAACCAAGTCATCCAGAAAGTTTGATGCGAACATAGCGCGACTGATCCCCTGCCGGCCACACTCCACCTTAGTGCCTACATCGCTGTCACCTGAGAGCATGCTGCCGAAACTGAACGACATCCTCGAACGTGGGATCGGAAGGATCTGGCATGTTATGAGCAGCACTGCTGCTTCTGATCACAACGGGCGAACTGAACAAAGCAGCCTGCTCCAGCGTCTGCTCGTTGCTTATGATCTGATCGTTCTCGCCCATGAACACCAGGGCGTCGATGTTACTGAATGGGCTGCTTGATCTTATCGTGGCCAGAATGCCAAGATGGTTGACTGGAAGATACCCACTGAACAACATTGCCACCTGAAAGGTACCCGCAGCAGCATGGGAAAGGTAGACAGGTACGAAGGCAGAACCCTGTGAGTAGCCTAGGATGCCATAGAATGGCCCATGATCTCGTACAAGCCCGTCCAGGTACTCAATTGACGCTGATGCCCAGTTGGGGTCTGTGGTAGGATGGCCCTTCCCTCCAGGTGGATCTGGAATCCAAACCCCACCAGCATAAGGCGCGTCCGCAAAGATGAATTCGAAATTCGAGCTCCAGGCGCTCTCGAGCGAAGACATTGCTGCCTTGAAAGACGCCCCATTGGCACCGCCACCATGAAGGCAAAGGATTTTCTGCCGAGACTCAGACGCCATCGTCGTCGCTGGCGTCGGTGCTGGCGTCAGCACTGTGCTGTGACCGTGTGGTCGAAAATTGACGACATCCACGAACGCGTGATCAGAAGGAACCGGCATGTTATGACCAGCACTGCTGCTTGTGATCACAACGGGCGAACTGAACAAAGCCGCCTGCTCCAGCGTCTGTTCGTTGCTTATGATCTGGTCGTTCGCACCCATGAACACCAGGGCGTCGATGTTACTGAATGGGCTGCTTGATCTTATCGTGGCCAGAATGCCAAGATGGTTGACTGGAAGATACCCACTGAACAACATTGCCACCTGAAAGGTACCCGCAGCAGCATGGGAAAGGTAGACAGGTACGAAGGCAGAACCCTGTGAGTAGCCTAGGATGCCATAGAATGGCCCATGATCTCGTACAAGCCCGTCCAGGTACTCAATTGACGCTGATGCCCAGTTGGGGTCTGTGGTAGGCTCGTCCTTCCCTCCAGGTGGATCTGGAATCCAAACCCCACCAGCATAAGGCGCGTCCGCAAAGATCAATTCGAAATTCGAGCTCCAGGCGCTCTCGAGCGAAGACATTGCTGCCTTGAAAGACGCCCCATTGGCACCGCCACCATGAAGGCAAAGGATCTTCTGCCGAGACTCAGACGCCATCGTCGTCGCTGGCGTCGGTGCTGGCGTCAGTACTGTGCTGTGACCGTGTGGTCGAAAATTGACGACATCCTCGAACGTGGGATCAGATGGAACCGGCATGTTATGACCAGCACTGCTGCTTGTGATCACAACGGGCGAACTGAATAAAGCAGCCTGCTCCAGCGTCTGCTCGTTGCTTATGATCCAATCGTTCTCGCCCATGAACACCAGGGCGTCGATGTTGCTGAATGGGCTGCTTGATCTTATCGTGGCCAGAATGCCAAGATGGTTGACTGGAAGATACCCGCTGAACAACATTGCCACCTGAAAGGTGCCCGCAGCAGCGTGGGAAAGGTAGACAGGTACGAAGGCCGCACCTTGTGAGTATCCTAGGATGCCATAGAATGGCCCATGGTCTCGTACAAGCCCGTCCAGGTACTCAATTGACGCTGATGCCCAGTTGGGGTCTGTGGTAGGCTCGTCCTTCCCTCCAGGTGGATCTGGAATCCAAACCCCACCAGCATAAGGCGCGTCCGCAAAGATCAATTCGAAATTCGAGCTCCAGGCGCTCTCGAGCGAAGATATTGCTGCCTGGAAAGACGCCCCGTTGGCACCACCACCATGCAAGCAGAGGACCTTCTGCCTGGACCCAGTCGCCCACGTCGGCGCTGGCGTCAGTGCTGGCGATGACTCTGGAATCGGCGTTGACGAGGATGCTGGCGTGGGTGCTCCCGACTGTGCAGGCGACGGGGACGATGCTGGCGCGGGTGCTCCCGGCTGTGCTGGCGTCGATGCTTCTGACTGCGCTGGCGACGATTCTGGCGTCGCTGCTCCTGGCTGTCCTGAGGGCCACTCTGGCGTCGGTGCTCCCGGCTGCACTGGGGACGATGATGGCGTCGGAACTCCAGGCTGTGCTGGCGTCGATTGTGTCGACGGCGCTGGCGACGATTCTGGCGTTGCTGCCCCCGGCTGTGCTGGGGACGATGCTGGCGTCGGTACTCCAGGCTGCGCTGGCGTCGATGGTGTCGACGGCGCTGGCGATGATCCTGGCGTCGATGCTCCCGGCTGTGCTGGGGGCGATGATCCTGGCGTCGATACTTCTGGCTGCACTGGGGGCGATTCTGGCGTCGGTGCTCCTGGCTGTGCAGGTGACGATGCTGGCGTCGGTACTCCAGGCTGCACTGGCGTCGATGGTGTCGATGGCGTTGGCGATGATCCTGGCGTCGAAGCTCCTGGCTGTGCTGAGGGCGAGTCTGGCGTCGGCGCTCCTGGCTGCACTGGGGACGATGCTGGCGTGGGTGCTCCCGGCTGTGCTGGCGTCGATTGTGGCGACGGCGCTGGCGATGATCCTGGCGTCGATGCTCCTGGCTGTGCTGAGGGCGACTCTGGCGTCGGTGCTCCTGGCTGCACTGGGGACGATGATGGCGTCGGAACTCCAGGCTGTGCTGGCGTCGATTGTGTCGACGGCGCTGGCGACGATTCTGGCGTTGCTGCCCCCGGCTGTGCTGGGGACGATGCTGGCGTCGGTACTCCAGGCTGCGCTGGCGTCGATGGTGTCGACGGCGCTGGCGATGATCCTGGCGTCGATGCTCCTGGCTGTGCTGGGGGCGATGATCCTGGCGTCGATACTTCTGGCGGTGCTGGGGGCGATTCTGGCGTCGGTGCTCCTGGCTGTGCAGGTGACGATGCTGGCGTCGGTACTCCAGGCTGCACTGGCGTCGATGGTGTCGATGGCGTTGGCGATGATCCTGGCGTCGAAGCTCCTGGCTGTGCTGAGGGCGAGTCTGGCGTCGGCGCTCCTGGCTGTGCTGGGGACGATGCTGGCGTGGGTGCTCCCGGCTGTGCTGGCGTCGATTGTGGCGACGGCGCTGGCGATGATCCTGGCGTAGATGCTCCCGGCTGTGCTGGGGGCGATGATCCTGGCGTCGATGCTTCTGGCTGTGCTGGGGACGATTCTGGCATCGGTACTCCAGGCTGTGCAGGCGTCGATGGTGTCGACGGCGTTGGCGATGATCCTGGCGTCGATGCTCCCGGCTGTGCTGGGGGCGATGATCCTGGCGTGGAAGCTCCTGGCTGTGCTGAGGGCGAGTCTGGCGTCGGCGCTCCTGGCTGCACTGGGGACGATGCTGGCGTCGGTACTCCAGGCTGCGCTGGCGTCGATGGTGTCGACGGCGCTGGCGATGATCCTGGCGTCGATGCTCCCGGCTGTGCTGGGGGCGATGATCCTGGCGTCGATGCTTCTGGCTGTGCTGGTGACGATGCTGGCGTCGGTACTCCAGGCTGCGCTGGCGTCGATGGTGTCGACGGCGTTGGCGATGTTCCTGACGTCGAAGCTCCTGGCTGTGCTGAGGGTGACTCTGGTGTCGGCGCTCCTGGCTGCACGGGGGACGATGCTGGCGTGGGTGCTCCCGGCTGTGCTGGCGTCGATGGTGTCGAAGGCGCTGGCGATGATCCTGGCGTCGATGCTCCAGGCTGTGCTGGGGGCGATGATCCTGGCGTCGATGCTTCTGGCTGTGCTGGTGACGATGCTGGCGTCGGTACTCCAGGCTGCGCTGGCGTCGATGGTGTCGACGGCGTTGGCGATGATCCCGACGTCGAAGCTCCTGGCTGTGCTGAGGGCGACTCTGGCGTCGGCGCTCCTGGCTGCACGGGGGACAATGCTGGCGTGGGTGCTCCTGGCTGTGCTGGCGTCGATTGTGGCGACGGCGCTGGCGACGATTCTGGCGTCGGTGCTGCTGGCTGCGCTGGGGACGATGCTGGCGTCGGTGCTCCGGGCTGTGCTGGCGTCGATGGTGTCGACGGCGCTGGCGATGATCCTGGCGTCAATGTTCCTGGCTGTGCTGGAGTCGACGGTGTTGACGGCGCTGGCGACGATTCTGGCGTCGGTGCTGCTGGCTGTGCTGGGGACGATGCAGGCGTCGGTGCTCCCGGTTGTGCTGGCGTCGATGGTGTCGACGGTGCCTGCGTCGGCGCTTGCGACGGCTGTGGTGTCGGCCCTGATGTCGGTGCTGCTGTCGGTGCTGGCGTCGGCGATGGCGACGGCTCCAGAGTCGGTCCTGGTGTCGGTGCTGGCGTCGGTGATGCCGTCGGCGATGGCGACACTTCTGGCAACGGTTCTGGTTCCGGTTCTGGTGTCGGCGCTTGCGACGGTGCTGGCGTCGGCCCTGACGTTGGTGCTGACGACGGCGCTGGCGACGGCGCCTGCGACGGTGCTGGCGTCGGCGCTATTGTCGGTGCTGAAGTCGGCGCTGCCGACGGCCCTGGTGTCGGCTCTGGTGTTGGTGCCAGCGTGGGCAGCGGGGTAGGTAACGGCGTGGGTCCTCCAGACGGTGCTGGCGTCGGCGCCGGCGTCGGTGCTGGCGTCGGCACTGGCGACGGCCCTGGTGTCGGCTCTGGGGTCGGTGCTGGTGTTGGTGCCGCGGTCGGCGATGGCGACACTTCTGGTAACGGTTCTGGTTCCAGTTCTGGTGTCGGCGCTGCCGACGGTGCTGACGTCGGCCCTGACGTTGGTGCTGGCGACGGCGCTGGCGACGGCGCTTGCGACGGTGCTGGCGTCGGCCCTGACGTTGGTGCTGGCGACGGCGCTGGCGACGGCGCTTGCGACGGTGCTGGCGTCGGCGCTATTGTCGGTGCTGAAGTCGGCGCTGCCGACGGCCCTGGTGTCGGCTCTGGTGTTGGTGCCAGCGTGGGCAGCGGGGTAGGTAACGGCGTGGGTCCTCCAGACGGTGCTGGCGTCGGCGCCGGCGTCGGTGCTGGCGTCGGCACTGGCGACGGCCCTGGTGTCGGCTCTGGTGTCGGTGCTGGTGTTGGTGCCGCGGTCGGCGATGGCGACACTTCTGGCAACGGTTCTGGTGCTGGTTCTGGCGTCGGCGCTGCCGACGGTGCTGACGTCGGCCCTGACGTTGGTGCTGGCGACGGCGCTGGCGACGGCGCTGCCGACGGTGCTGACGTCGGCTCTGACGTTGGTGCTGGCGACGGCGCTGGCGACGGCGCTGCCGACGGTGCTGGCGTCGGCCCTGACGTTGGTGCTGGCGACGGCGCTGGCGACGGCGCTTGCGACGGTGCTGGCGTCGGCGCTTGCGACGGTGCTGGCGTCGGCGCTGCCGACGGCCCTGGTGTCGGCTCTGGCGTCGGTACTGGTGTCGGTGCCGCCGTCGGCACTGGCGACACTTCTGGTAACGGCTCTGGTTCTAGCGTCGCTGCTGCCGTTGGTGCTGGCGACGGCGCTGGCGTCGGCGCTGGCAATGGCCGCGTCGGCGCTTGCGACGGCGCTGGCGTGGGCGCTGGCGTCGGCGGCAGGGTCGGTAACGGCGTGGGTGCTACAGACGGTGCTGGTGTCGGCGCTGGCGTCGGTGCTGACGTCGGCGCGGGAGACGGCTCTGGTGTCGGCCCTGGTGTCGGTGCTGACGTTGGTGCTGCCGTTGGCGCTGGCGACACTTCCGGTAACGATTCTGGTTCTGGCGTCGGTGCTGAGGTCGGTGCTGCCGTTGGTAGTGGCGTTGGTGACGGCGACGGAGCTGTCGTCGGTGATCCCGATGGTGCTGGCGTCGGTGCTGGTGTCGTCGGCGCTGGCGTCGGCGCTGCTGTCGGCGCTGGCGTCGGTGCTCCAGACGGTGCTTGCGTCGGCGCTGACGTCGGCGCTGACGTCGGCGCTGGCGATGGCTCTGGTGTCGGCCCTGGTGTCGGTGCTGGTGTTGGTGCCGCCGTCGGCGCTGGCGACACTTGTGGTAACGGTTCTGGTTCCTGCGTCGGTGCTGACGTTGGTTCTGACGTCGGTGCTGGTGTCGTCGGCGCTGGCGTCGGTGCTGGCGTCGGTGCTGCCGACGGTGCTGCCGACGGCGCTGGCGTCGGTGCCGTCGTCGGTACTTGTGTTGGTGATGCCGTCGGCTCTGGCGTCGGTGATGGCGTCGGCGCTGGCGTGGGAAGCGGGGTCGGTAACGGCGTGGGTGCTCCAGACGGTGCTGGCGTCGGAGCTGGCGTCGGTGCTGACGTCGGCGCTGGCGACGGTTCTGGTGTCGGCCCTGGTGTCGGTGCTTGTGTTGGTGCCGCCGTCGGCGCTGGCGACACTTGTGGCAACGGCTCTGGTTCTTGCGTCGGTGCTGACGTTGGTGCTGCCGTCGGTGCTGGTGTCGTCGGCGCTGGCGTCGGTGCCGGCGTCGGTGCTGCCGACGGTGCTGCCGACGGCGCTGGCGTCGGTGCCGTCGTCGGTACTTGTGTTGGTGATGCCGTCGGCTCTGGCGTCGGTGATGGCGTCGGCGCTGGCGTGGGAAGCGGGGTCGGTAACGGCGTGGGTGCTCCAGACGGTGCTGGCGTCGGAGCTGGCGTCGGTGCTGACGTCGGCGCTGGCGACGGTTCTGGTGTCGGCCCTGGTGTCGGTGCTTGTGTTGGTGCCGCCGTCGGTGCTGGCGACACTTGTGGTAACGGTTCTGGTTCTTGCGTCGGTGCTGACGTTGGTGCTGCCATCGGTGACAGCGACGGTGCTGGTGTCAGCGTCGATGCTAGCGTCGGCGATGGCGTCGATGCTGGAGCACAAATCAAGACGTCAGCTCTCATCGACAACCAGCCCGACCATCCCTGGGGCTTGATGCGGACATAGCGCGCCTTCTTTCCGCTTGAAAACACACTCTCCACCCTAGTGTCGCTATCACTATTTCCTCTGAAAGTCCCGTCCACGCCTTCCCAGGACACGCCGTCTATCGAAATATCCACTGTGTAACTGGTCACCCACTGCGGCACAGAGTTTCTACCTTGCGTTACGACGCCTGAGACCGTCGATACACCTCCCAGGTCCATCACCAACCATGGGTCGATCAGTGGAGGGTGAGCGCTCCAAGCTTGCACCGAGTCGAGCATAGACTGACCATGGCCAGTCCCTGGCGCGTCACCGGCAAAGACAGAACTGTACGATCGATCGCTCTCTGGCACATTAACAGTCTCACAGCCCGCCAAGTCGGATGTGCCCTCTGTTGGGGTCAAGCTGGCAGAACTAGTCGGCGCTGGCGTCGGTGCTGTTGCCGGTGCCGTCCAGCAGCCTGCCTCCGCCAAGACGTCGCTTGTGTCCGAGACACTGATCCTGGCGTAGACCGCTTTGATGCTGCAAACGTGAATCCACATTGTCTTGCTGACTTCGAGGGTTTCGCCCTCCGCCAATGTGGTCCACAATTCGCTATCCTGGCTGGCGTCAGCCTGATAGTGCACATGAACGCGGTCGATCAGCGTCAGAAGACTTCTGGTGTGGTAGTCGTGGAGGCCGATCCACGACGTTTCTGCCTCCTCGACACCGTATATGTTTGGGGTGTCGGCCACACGGAAGGACAGGTAAAGGGCAGATGCGCCTGCGACAGCTGCTGTGCTCCCCACACATTCATCGCATGGGATTTTCACCATCAGAAAGTCTGGGCCCTCCGGTCCCTCGTTGAGGGCAGAGAGTTGGACTGTCAAGTGGTCAGACCCTCGAACGAAGTCCGCTACGTCGGCCTGTGTGATCCAACCGAGCCTGTAGCGCGTAACCGCATTGCAGTCTGAGTACCGAGATGCGCGTTGATATCCCATGATCGCATCATCCAAATACTCGTTGAACACACCATCGCTCCGGTAGCCCCCTGCATGACTGAGCCCAAAATTGTGCCCCAATTCGTGGAAGAACGTCTGCCAAGTGATGGCCTCGCCAAAATAATGGGACCATCGATCCCAATAATAACCAGGGGCCGGGTGAGAAGATGCAGCCGCGAAGCTGCTCCCGGGTGCAACAACCATCGTATGCTTGTACTCCCTTGCTGTGGCCTTAGCCTGAAATCCCGCCTGATTCAACACACCAGGGATGAGGTACCTGAGATCGTAGTTCCAAGTCGCTGGGTCTTCTGTCGATTCCATTTCAAAGAAATCAACATCGGAAGATTCCAACCAAGTCTGGTGCCACGAATTATGGTACATGGAATGGTTCAGACCGGGAACGTCCCAAAACAAACCCTGAACCTGCGCGAAGCTCTTCAAGGGATTCTGACCATTGTATGTCAGGTAGACGACGAGGATCGGACCATACTTCCCAGTGGGCGGTGAAGGCGGCGCCATTAGTCCAGTCACCCCGTATGTAATGAAATCCTGATCGTCCGCATGGGAGTCCTGGAAACTGTTAAACTGATCGACGGGGCTCAGGACAGTTGGGTCCTGCATCGCGGTATTACGGAGTTGCCTGGCATTCGTGAACGTGTCCCTGCTTCCGTCCCAGAGGCCGCTGCGTTGCAGGTGCAACCCTGCCACCTGAATCACATTGCAGACGCATGCGCCTGCAAGAATATATGTAAGTGAGGGTGTCATTGAGGGTTCGATTGGCGAGACTCTGTCAAAGAGGAGTCTATCGTGAAACAAGCCCAGACTGCCATCTAGAGCGCAATTGCCTTGAGCCAAAGCGGCTATGGATACGCATGTGTATGCGCGTGTGTGTGCGCGTCTTTGAGTGTGTGTGTGTGTGCGTGTGTGAGTGCGCGCGTTTGCGTGTGTGCGTACGGGTGCGCGTGTGTGTGTGTGTGTTGTGCGTGCTGTGCTTCGACGTGTATGCCTGTGCATCTTGACCAATGGTTGATTCATCGATGCGGAGAAAAAAGAGTGTGCGAGTGCGTGTACGTCTGCCGTGTGTGCGGGTGTCTGTGTGTATGCATGTGTGTCCGTAGTCTGCGTGTGGGTGTGTGTGTGTGTGTGTCTGTGTCTGTGTCTGTGTCTGTGTCTGTGTCTGTGTTTGTGTCTGTGTCTGCGTTTGTCTGTGTCTGTGTGTGCCTGTGTGCCTGTGTGTGCGCATGTCTGTGTGCGTGAGTGTGTGTGTGTGTGACTGTGCGTGTACGTGTGCGTGTGCGTGTGCGTGTGCGTGTGTGTGTGTGTATTTGTGTTTGTGTTTGTGTTTGGTCTTGTGTTTGTGCTTGTGTTTGTGCTTGTGAGTGTGTTTGTGTTTGTGCGTGTGTTTGTGTTTGTGCGTGTGGTTGTGGTTGTGTTTGTGGCTGTGGTTGTGTTTGTGTTTGTGTATGTGTGTGTGCGTGTGTGCGTGTGCGTGTGCGTGTGCGTGTGCGTGCGCGTGCGCGTGTGCGTGTGCGTGTGTGTGTGCGTGCGTGCGTGCGTGCGTGCGTGTGTATGCATGTGTGTGTGTGTTCTGGACGACCTTCCCGATATCGATCCACCGACCTGTCCCCCTACCAAGGTGAGGGACAGCGTCTCGCTGGAGGCCGACGGGCGCATCGACCCTGAACCCTCCACAAGGAGGGCAAGCAACACCATCGCGCACATCATGGTCGCACCTGCCCGCTCCGTGCCCCCCATGATCGACGAACGCTGGAGGAACTGGACGTCGGAGCACAGGGCCTCCTCTCTCTCCGCAGGTCAAGAAACCGACTGGGAGCACAGAGCCCCCTCTCTCCGTAGCGCGGCGCGCTGCCAGGTATTCCTTGCCGCCATCTACGGCGACTCCATCCCCCCGTCAGGATTCCCCCCGGGGGTCCACTGGGACGGTAAACGCGCCTCTCTGGCACTACTGGTGGCCACCTACAGCGCCAAAGGCGCCTCGACTCCTCCCGCGGCCCTCGGACCCGACAACTGGGGCGCGCGCCGCATCAAGGTTGAGCACGACCCCCAGGCCACCACGAGAGGACGGGCCCCCGCGCGGCACCGCCAGGAGGCACTGCTCGGCGACCCGAGCTCGAGGAACCTCAGGAGCCCTCAGGACCCACAGGTCGCCGGGTCTCGGACGACGGCGGCGAGAAGGAGGCAGGCCCCCTCAGCCGCCGGCGGCAGCGCCCCCACTCGCGCCGCGGTTCTGCTCGCCCCCATGGCGAGGGCGCAAGGGTGGGCGGAGGGAGCGGCCAGCCCAGCGACCCTGCTCTGGGCCCCATTCCAAGGCATGGACTGCCCCCGCCCCCATGCACCCCCACAGCGCGAGGCGAACGAGCAGCTCGACTGCGACCACGCCCCCCCGTCGCGGAGGTCCAGATCGTCGCCCAGCCGCGGCGAGGGCGGGCGCGCGCGGCTGTCTGAAGCGCCCAACGATCCCCAGGGGCGACCCGCAAGCGGCGCAACAGCAGCTCCCCCAGCCCACCCTCAGCGTCGTGCGCTCGCTCCAGCTCAGCCGGCTGCGACGGGGGCCCTCAGGAGCGACGACCCCCAGACAGCCTCGCATTTGGCAATGATGGGGCGCGGCCCACTCCGAGCAGCTCTCCGCGCCCACAGAGAGACACGCCCCCGCCACCCAGCCCCGACCGCGGGCAGCCCTGCAGGCCGAACAGTCCGACGGGGGTACCTCGGGAGGCGGCGGCGATGAACCTGCGCGCAAGACCCCCCGTACCGATGAGCAGCATAGCCCAGGGGGTTCCAGGAGGGGCCGCAGTAGCGACGCGGTGGAGCACCGCCAGTGGAGCGCGCCCCGCCATGGCGCCAGGCCGACCCCCCCCCGTCGCGCCCGACTCTCCCTCACAACAAAACCCCCCACCACGACGCCTTGGACCTGTTGTACTTCGAGCCGCGACTAGAGATACGGTGGCAACCCGGCTGGAACTACACCACCAGTCAGGAAGAGCCCTGGCTGGAGGTAGTCAACCGCCTCAAGAAGAAATGTGGCCCCATGCTCACCATTGGCTGGCGAGCCATTTGCGACCGCGAATTGGGGCAATTCTCCTCCAAGGGCCCCAGCCGGCATCCCCCCGACCTCTGTCGAAGCTTTGTATCTGACCTCATCCAGGCCAACTTCGATGTCCGCATCCTCTGCCGGAGTAAGGGCACCCACGTCGACTGGGATGCCGAGTGGGAGCGGGGAATGGAGAAGAGGCGCGCTGGGCTCCGAGGGCAGAAGGAAGGGCCCCCCCCCGCAGGGGAAAGGCAAGCGCCCAGCCGACTCCTTCCGGCCAAGCAACGACCCCTCGCGCCAACGGTGGACCTGGGGCTCACAATCGGCGCCCCCGCCTGCCTCGACCTGTTCTGAGTTCCCCGCGCTGCTCCCCCTGGCCGCCCCTCGGCCAGACGCTCCATAGCCCGCCTGGGGCCTGGCTACCCAATTCGTCTTGCGAGCGCTCATCGCCACTCCCCCCTCGCAGCGGGACCAGGCGCGGCCGGCCAGGCCCTCGGCTCCCCCGGCCGCGCGCGACCAGCCTGTGGTCTCCCTGGCCGTCGTCGGCTCGCCTGCACGCCCTCTTGCCCCCCCCCTTCCCGGGTCGGCGGCTTCCTGCCTACCGGCCCCCTTCTGCGCATCGCTGCGCCCTTTCGGAGCCCCCGCCCATCTGCGCCCTTCTGCGCCCCCCCCCCCGCGCGCCGTCGGCTGCCGCCGAAAGCTGCACTCGCGCCGTCGCTGCCAACCCCGCCGCGCGCCCTTTGGCCGGCACCGCCGGCCCCTCGGCGGCTTCGCCGCTCGCGCCGCGCCCCATCCCTGGTGGCGGCCGCCGCCTTTGCCATGGACGCGCTGGTTTTGCCGCTCGCCGCTGGCCCCCGCGCGCCTCCCCCGGCCGCCCCTGGCCGCCATTCTCCGTCAGGGTGGGCCCCCGCCGCCGCGCCCCCTGCCTCGGCCAGGCGGATCGCCGGCTTTCTGCGCCGCCTGCGCCCCCCACCTTGGAACTCTCGGCCGCTCCCTGGTCTGTCCCCCCCTTCGCTTGGTTCACAGGCCAGCCTTCCGTCCGCGCGCTTGCCCCCCTGGCCTGGCCGCGTTCGCTGCTCCGCCGCCGCGGCCCCTCGGCGCGCGGCCCGCCCCTCGGCCGCGCCTCGCAGGCCAGCAGATGTCGGCGCCCCCGGTGCCTCAGCTGCTGGACCCGTGCGCCAGGAAGTAATCATGAATGGCGGATGGGGACAGCCTGCATGCAAGTGGGCTCGCGCGGGTCGACGCACATGGCGGTCGCCAGGTGGAGCCAGACGTGCCCCAGCAGCTCATGTGGCGACACGTCGAAGCCGCCGCCGACGATCCAGGCCAAGCCAGGGACCGAAACCACACGCTTCACGCACTGCACGACCTGCCACACGATCGCCAGGTCGCGCGGCGATCTGCCCCCACCAGCGCGCAGGTAGACGGCAAATCGCCGCGGAGCCGCCAGGGACCACGGCTCGACCAGATACGATAACGCCATTTTCAAGCAGGGGCGCCTTGGCGGCTGCAGTGTCGGACTTGGCCAAGACTGCGAAGCCGCCCTCTGTGGGCGGCCAGCGCCGGGCACCGCGCGCCTCGACAGCCCGCGCCCCAGGCGTCGCCGCGCACCTCAGGGAGCACCACCGCGCCTGCGCGGCGCTCCTGCGTCAGGACCACGTCGCAGTCGCAGTCGACCGGGCATTTGGACAGGGTGCCAAGCGATCTGGCATTCATGGTGATAGTATGAAACTTGCTTCTCATCACGGTCGGCGATGCAGTTACCTCCAGCTGCGCGCGATTTCTTGACCACCTTCCACTTGAACTTGGCCAGACGGATACGCTTGACCGCCGCGCGGAGCTCATCTTCTGAGGCACCAACAGCATCTGGGACGTCAGCACCAGACGCAAGAAATCCCGAAGCTCATCCGCCGTAGTCTGGTTGACCGACTCCTCCTCCTGGTCCTCGTAAGCTTCCATGGCAGCGTCGTGCTGCTCCTTGGCGGCCTGGGCGGCGGCGGCGGCCTCGGCGGCTTGCTTCTCCTGGACCTCGCGCCGGGCCTGAGCCCGCTGCCCCTGGGGCCGACGACGGCGGCGAAGCTTGCCCGCCACCGCGGCCACCTCCTGTGGTTAGAGCGGCTGACTGCAGATCAGCAGGTCCCTGGCTCAAATCCGGGTGTGCCCTCTTGCGCGCACTGTCGCCCGCCGCCCGACGCGGCGCTCTCGCGGCCGCGCTCGCGCGCGTGAGCGGCCGCTGGGGTGCGAATTCCGCGCCGCGGTCGCGGGCTCCCCCAAGACAATTGGATAGGAGGAGTTGGTGGCCACTGTCCTGCACAGAGGCTCCGCCAGTCCCATTCAGACGTGCTCTCCCATCACTGCTGGCAGTCCCCAGTCTTGCTTGCTCTGTTGCCAGCGCTGAAGATCAGGAGCAGCGCCAGCAGACAGCAGCACCTGCTCCAGCTTGGGCAACGTCCAGCTGACCTCGTCGGCGCCAGGCTCGGCGCCAGGAGGCCCCGTGGGCGGCTGCGGCAAGGCCCCACAGAGCAAGGCCCGCTGGCCCTCGAGCTCGAGCAGCTGCATGCGAGACTCG